CCCCCCGCCAGTATCATCGATAGCGGCTGCACAGTCAGATGATCGCAGGCAGCCCGCATGCTTGGCGCAGAAACAAGCATTTTTCTGGGGAAAATGGGGTGCGAGGGCAGGATAGAAGTGCTCAGCTCTCTGCGGGCAGCCATCCCCGCTCTCGGGATCTCCGCCTGGATACAGACCTTGCTCCGGGGGACATTTTCATAGAGGGCCAGGAGGAGACTCCCCAGCACCGTGTTTAGCTTGATACTTCATCTCCCCGCGCCGGCCTTTTAATCTCCCTCTGGAAAACAACCTGGGGGCGGCGAGTAGATTCGTTTCATCCCCGCCAAAAACGGGGAAAGGCAGCAGCCAGTGCTCGGGCTGGGATAAGAGGGGCAGTGGCGGGGAGGGACCGACAGAGCTCGGTGCACGGAGGAGAATCAAACCCTCACAAGCATTTCCTCTGCTCCAGTTAGCGCTGCAACCCATTTTTCGATCCCTAGTTGGGAGGCACAGCACGCACCCACCCTTAGGTAGCAGGAAGACGCTCAAGAATTTGTCTTTCTGAGAAACCTTTTATTTGGCACAATCAACGCTAGCGTTTTTCAGAGCGAAACCATTCCTTCCTCCCCCTACTGAGAAAAGCCTCCAGCACAGGCTTGCGCCGCACAAAGCTGTGCTCGGAGGCAGGGCCCGCTGTGACACATGGAAATTTCGTTTTTCTCAGTAACACGTGGGTCTGGAAAGCCCAGCCTTTGGATTTACAGCAGCCTGTTGCAAACTTTTTGTTCCTAGGAGCGGACTGACCACAAAACTCTCATTGAGAAGGCCTCGGTAAGCAGCTGGATCGAAGGCTGCAGTGCCCCGATCGCCGGGGCTGCGAGCAGCAGCTGCACCTCGGCGGTCCGAGCGCTGTTCCTATGCTGGAGCTTTGCCAGGGGCTTTAACAGAAGCAGGGTCAGGAGCCGAACCAGGAGCCCTGCAGTGTAGGGACAGACCATTTCGTTTGCCAACGCACGACTGCCTTAGCAAAGAACCAGACAATCCTGCTAAGGCCTCACAGAAGCCCTGGCAACAAAATAGTAAAGATGGAAGAAAAAAAAAAAAAAAAATCCAGTGGCACTTGGAGCAAGATATTCCACTTTCGTGCCCTTTAAACAAAACCATCCTATGATTACCTCTGCCCCCTCTCAGGGAGGGTGAGCGACAGTGAGAAGCAAGGAACCTTTTGCTTTCTCCTTACCCAACCGGTCTGTCCCAGCAGCCTAATTCTCCATCTGGCTCACTGCTCCATCCTGGCGCTCCAGAGAATTTGCTGGCTGAGGGGTAGACAAGTGTTCCAGCTCGTAATGTCCGTTCCTCGCAGCCGGCGCGCTGCTGGGGTGACCCTTTGCTGCTGCCAGCTTTTTACTCTTCTTGCTTTCAATGATCTGCTGGAGCTGATGCCCAGCATAGTCTGGTTTGGCGGTGAGCACGGTAGCGGGCACGGCCAGCCCGAGGATTTCAGGTACCATGTAGGGCCGGAGCCAGCCCACCAGTGGGGTGCTGCCAGGGGTATAGTGGGTTTGCTTGTGATAGAAGAGAAGTCCATCAACCTGTAGAAAGGAGAGAGAATCAATGAAAGGCCAGAGCTGGAGGCTTCTGCAGGTGGATGACAACGTGCCAGACGACAGCACCGCTCTCCATTTACAGGCCAAAGCTACCGGCTGGATCATTTTTCCTCAAGCAGTGCAATAAATAGCGGAAGGGGAAAAAAAAAGAAACCTGCAGAGCTCCTGTCCTGAAAGATGATTCCAAGCCCAGCAACTGCCGGATGGCTTTAAATCATCAAAGGCAAACAATTTCAGCCTGACGTCGGCACAGACCAGCATTTTTCCTCTGGTTGCTGCAATCCGCTTCTGCAGAAAAGCCATCAGGTTTCTGAATAAGGCAGCACACAGAAAGGCCACTTTACTGGATTAAGGTTATTTTAAATAATACATTTGGAGAGTAATTAGTCAGAGCGCATGACGCCAAGGAGCCCCGATTCGTAACGCTGCTACAGCTCTTTCAGCTGGCTTATGCAAAATAAATTCTTAATGTTTCCTGAGAGAGAACTTCTCCAGCAATCAATGACAGTTAAGGGCACTCAGGACTTTGAAGGTTTAGGCCCTCACTCCTGCGCTACTATTTCCACGCTCTGCAATACTGCAGCTGGCTGACGTTTTCGCCGCTTCCCTGCCACGGTAAGGGATTTTGACCCCCCTCTTCCTGTGCTCCCCAGGGCTGTACTCTGCAAGGTTACACCCTGCTGTCAGGCTGCCTAACGCTGGAGGTGGTGCTCCTCTTAGCTCAGCCTCGCAAGCTCTTAAAAGGCCATTTGCCTACCAGTAAGAGTGGCTGAGTGGGCAAGAGAGATGACAAAAAGAGCCCACCCTCGGGCTGAATTGCTCCCAGGCCCCTCCCCGAGCCTACAGACCCCAGAACATATACAGCAGAGCAGCACCTATATGGGCAGTGAGCTGAGGCATGGGTGAACCGAGCGGATCGAGGCGATTCCTGCTACCATGCTGGACTGCAAGCCAGGCTGAGCAAAGAGCAGCATACGTCCATCTCTGCTCCACAGCCACTAACCTCCAGCAGAGCCGGTAGAGCTTCTTGCACTACTCTGTCCCTAATTTTCAGTCACTGTTAAGATCTTGCAAAATAATCCCAGAAAAAGGGGGATTCCTGTGCTAGGAAAACATGAAAGCAGAACAGTAAACATCATGATGAGCTTGTGTAACCCTCTGGATATCTGAAGTGCAAAGCTTCTCCCTCCCCCTGCCTCCCAGGAAGACTTGGGAAGAGCCAGATTCTACAGCACCCCAGCACCACGCCTGCACATCCAGCCCATTCCTGCGGGTGCACGGCACTTGGAGAGCAATGGGGAATCTCCAGCACCCACAGGAATGTTTTGGTAAAGATCACAGCCTGAAAAGGCTTCTGCCTTCCAGACCGCTCCAAAGATCTTCCCCGAGCTGGAGAATTCAAAGGAGTTCAGCCCGGTGGAGAGTTAGGTCATGTTCTTCCTTCCCCCTGATTCCTCTTAAGTTACTGCAACTCCCATGTTCCTTCCAGTTTATTTAATTTGTTGGCCAGGTCCCTACCCTGAGTCACCACACTGACACCAGCCACATCAGAGTAAGGGCTGACACTGTCCCTAAATCACCAAACCCGATGAGAAACTGGGCAAGCAGGATTTCACATTTCACAGCCACACTTTTCAGACTTTACGTGCTTAATAGTACACCCATTCCGTCACACCGGGGTTTCTCAGAGGCTTTGGCTCCCCCCTGCCTTCGTGGGAACCTGAACGTTGTTTTACACTGTGAGTAGGACAGTAGCTCAGAAGATCCACTCCAAAAACCACTTCAAATTCAGTGCCAGTCAACTGATCCAAAGTCCACTGAATTCAGCGGAAAAAAAATTTCCACTGAATATAGCGGATCAGGTCCTAACTCTAAGGTTACAGATTAACTCTGAAGACCCAGATCTGAAGGCACTGACCACATCTGTTACCACCGCATGCACGAGATCCTCGTGAGGATCACAAGATGCTGGGCCCAGGCATAAGGAGACCTCTGTTGCACTGCACTGTCTATAGCAAGGCTGTATTTTGCCTTCTGCAAAGTTTCTTTCTTTATGTGCTGTTGGTGGAAGCCATTTACGAGGATTTCTTGAGCTCCCTCTCGTGGCACATCACAAAGAGACCCACGGTTCCCTTTCTTGGAAACGGCCCCACCGTGGGGTTACCGGCTGCCTTTCAGCCAAATTACACCACGTTTTGCTTGTCACCCCGATGTATCGACCAGAGCACTTGGGGGGCAAATCACAGCTGGATTGCAAGGGGGAGTCTGATCAACTCCATCTCCCTCCCCAGGCATTTCGCAACAGTCACCTTCGCAGGCCGAAACGGTTCTGCTCCGACCGCAGTGGGGCAATACTCCTCAGCCTTTTCTCACGGGAGCAGATGCCTCAGGAAGGAATGAAGCTTTCTTCAGCGAGGACGGGAATGACTGTTTCTACAGAGGCACTCAAAGCACCCGTAATTGAGCAAGTCAGCTGTAGGAAGCCTGGGATGCCTTCTCAACACTCCCCGATCTGTGTTCGGAGCGGGGTCTGGCAAGACCAGCAAGGGGCCAGGACTTTCTGACTCTCTCTAATGACTGTCCTGGCTTTGACAAGCAGAAGGCAACGTCAGCCCTCACAGCCAAATTAGCGTCCCGCACTTAAGTTAATCACTTTTTTGGGCCGGGAGAGCACAACAGACAGAGTCACAATCAACCGTGCTTTTGCCTTAGCGGGACAAGCAACCTCTGTAGAGGCTGTTCCTGATCTAGGGCTGAGACCGGGCACTCCGCAGGAACTGCTGCGGACGCTGGAGGAGCTTCTGGCTCCCAGATGTTTGTCACTAACACTGTGCCGGAATGCCACCCGCCACCCTTCTCCTTCCTCCCCACAAGACAGAAGATAGCTGGGTGCCTTGCACATAGACAGACGGAAGTAGCAAGACTAGGGAAACACAGAGCCTGTGACAGAGGTCACAAAAGACTGCCCACCCCGCAGACCACTTGAGAAACACCACCACATAAGGGAGCACATGGCAGAGATCCTCATGCCTCTACCCACGCAAGCCCACCCAGGGCAGCGGGCAGTACCAGCTTTGGCCCTAAAAAGGTCAGCTGTCCATCTCACCGCCGCACGAACGTCAGCTACACTGCTTCTGGAGGCAGTCTGGGCGTTCGCATCAACCCCCTCCTCCTGAGGGCTCTTTCAGAAGACAGTCAACAGCAGCAAAGACAGCCCAAAACCAGGGAATGCTAAGCTTTAACTCTTGCCAATTAGTTTGGTTGGATGCAGCCATTAGTTTGGCAGGTGCGTGGCAGGGCTGTCCCTAAGGCCGACGTCCAGGCCCCTGCCTACGTGTTCTCACCTCGAAGGGGAAGTCCATAGCCAACACCTTACACAGGCTGTCCGAGGTGCAGGGGAAGTTCTGCAGGCCCACAAATTTGAACTGAAAGAGTAAGAGAGGGTTAGAAGAGACAACTGCATGGCCTAAAGCAGAACAAGTCACTGAATCCAGCATTGGGGTGGAGGCAACTATGAAGGGAGAATTTCCCCCAATGCAAGACCCAGCATGAGAGAGACAAGGGTGAGGGACAGGCATCGGATGAGGTAACCAGAGGGGAGATCTCAAGCAGGGACTGCATCATTAAAATCCTCGCCTTCCTGCTTACAGGGTATCAGGGGCCCAAAAGCACAGACAGGCTCAAAACAGAATTAGACCAGCTCCCAAAAGGCAGGTGCCCTGGTGGCCATTAACTCCATGGTCTAGGCACAACCACTGGCTGATCAGGAACATGACAGGTATCCCCAATTTCTAACTCTTTCCATAGCAACTGATCTCTGCGATTACTACGGGTTATTGGGACAGACAGACCCCTCATGCGATTCAGAACAGCAATTTCTAAGCAAACCCCAAGATATAGAGACAAAACGACAGGACCAAGTTGTCCATCGGTGCTGATCGCATCCCACTGAAGTAACTGGGAGTGCTTGCATGAAAACCTACAAAAATCACCCTAGCCACCAGAGAAGACGGGGTGGGAACAGCCTTTAGAGGTAACCCCTGCCATCTCTCCAATTGCACCTTTATAAATCTCATTCCAGTAACAGAAGATGACCTTCAAAAGAAGACCAGGGGATTGCCACTGCAATGCCCAGACAGCAAGAAATCTAGAGTGCACAGAAAGATTCATTTCAGGTATTTTATCACCCCAGTTCCAAATGACCCCCTCTCAGAGACGCGGGTGGTACAGACTCAGCACACAGCCCGCACATGCTCCCGATATCCTTTTTTCCCAAGCATCTAAGGCTGCAGGACGGACTTTTCAGGAGAGCTGACTCCAAGATGCTCTTTTAACCAAAATAGAAAACGATGACCTCTGGGCAGGATGCAAAGCAGACAGATGTCTGCTCCAGGCTGCTGGCTCAGCCAAGCAAATCTTTCCACCCAGGAAATGAAAGCTGAAACAAGCCCCCTTGCCGCGTTAGGTAGCTGTCTTCCGGATATTCCCGCTGGAGTCAGAACGGGATGTTCTCCAAATACAGATACCTTCGCTGCTGGCACAGGAACGGTCATCCCCATTTTTATGGCCAACCTGCTCAGCCCACAGGAGTTGCTCTGCTTAGCTGTGTCTGAGCACGCACAGGGGCCACAGAGCGATCAGGTTCTGCTTTGCAAACTGCGCTCCATAAGCCAGGCTGCCAGATCTCTTATATCCCACCCCCCGCCCCACCCCAAAATCACTTTCCAAGCTGCTGTGGGTTCTAGGTCCGACCTCTGTGTGCAAGTCTGCAAGGGAAGACATTTTATCCTTGCTCAGCAGGGACTCTGGGTGGCAATCCGGCATTCATCCTGACAACTTCAATGATTAATTTAAGCGGGAGGGAAGGCTAAAGCTTTACAATCATTTCCTCTTGCCTTGCGAGCCCACAGACTACGCAAGAATAATCCCCATTGTAGTCAGGCTGCCAGCAACGCTGCCCCTGTAGAAACCACACTGGTTTTCCATTCCGTTTCAAGGGAAAGCTAAAAATGGCCTGGAAGTTAGCTGATACCCTGCAGTCTGATCTCTCTCAGCACTTTGGCCAGGAAAAAAAAACAAAACAACCGCACTCATTTACAACACTCAGTGGTTCTATTTACATCCTGAACACGGCATCCCATTTCAGCAGAAGTACACTTTGAAGCCTAATCTGTGAGGGGTGGGGGGAAAGAAAAAAGCTTCCACTTGTGAAAGAAAGTGCTAAGGCCTGCTGCACAGGAGAGCTTACCCCGCATCCTCCTTCTCCGCCCAGTACAAAAGAACTTACTGGATTAATCCTGCTTTTCTCTCCCAGCCCTTCCTCCTCTTGGATCTTTGAGAAGAGCCAGAAGAATCTGAAGTCGGTCTGTGAAAGGAGGCAGAGACTTAATGACTATCCACCACACATCACCGGTCAGCACCGGCCAAGCGTCTCCGTTCCTCCGTACTCGCCCAGATTTACAAACTCAGCTTCACCTGCAGAACCAGCCAACGCCCTGAACTCTGCTACTTCCCCCAATATCCCCGAAAGATGTACCAAATTATTCCAGTAGCCAGCAGCCCACAAGCTGTAAAGGTGCTGGTGCTTAGATGACATATCCATCCTACTGCACAGGGGGTGATGGCCAGTGCTGGGTGCAAAGCAGCTCACAGAACAGAGAACAAAAGGGAGGGCAGGGCAGAGGCGGGGAAGATTCAGTACCTGACAGTCATAAACGGGGTGTCCTCTCCAGCACATCACATCGAGGATATAGTACGTCTGCTTAGCCTCGTTGTAGATACAGTCCAAGATGGAGTACACTGCACAAACACAGGGAGGTCCAGACACGCTCCAGGGACTGCCCAGCCCAGTTGCCAGGTCAAATCCCTCCTGCATTAAGCTCGCCCTGATGTAAGGCCCAGAGGGATCCCCTTCTGCTAACAGAAGCTATGGCCACAGAAAGCCTTTAGCCTGGAGACCAACAAGGCTACAAAGGTACCAGCCAGAGGCACATCAAGCAAAGGCTTGTTTCAGAAAAAGGCCTTTACTCAACAGTAACCCCTCCTCAGGGCAAGCAAGGCAACTGCATGAATCATTAAGAAAGATCACGCTGTACGCAGCGTACAGAGAGGATGTTGAGGCTTAACAGTGTCAGCTAACCAGGCAGCTAATTAAAATATGTTCTCATCTAGCATAAAAGTATCTGATATTGTCCACATCTAGCTATCCCCAGAGATACACAAACAGGCCTGAAGCTAACTTGTCCCTGGCACCAGAGAGGGGCACAGCCTCTGGACCTGTGGAGCTGAAGGAGCGGCACTGAGCCTGCCAGTGCACACACTCGCAGGGAGAAGCCCGCAGTTCCCCTCTCTCTATCCCCAAAGCCTCCTCACACCGTTACCTTTCTCGGTTGTTGAATTGTGCCGGTTGCCCCCTGGCAGCAGGGATGGGAACCTGTTGACGCAGAAGCCACTCTTGGTGTAAGCTGCTGTTGTGCCCTGTGAGGGAACGAGAGAGGAGAAAGAAAAAAGTCAAGCAAGACACAAGGGTCTCTCTTATGTTGGCTGGGAAACAGATACGGGTCCTTTAACAACTGGTGAGATACCACCACTGCTGCCACTTACCCTGGATGCCACGACTAGCGCCCTTTTCCCAACAGGACACACCACTACAACCCACTCCTGCTCCAGATCCAAGGGGACATCGACCAGCCATTCAGACAGCATCAGCTACGGAGAATTTTTTAAAAAAAAAAAAAAAAAAAAAAAAAGCAGTTAGCAACAACTCTCCTGAAGTTATGGAAAGCTCACAGCAAGAAGGTTTCAATTTGGCTTCTACAGCTACACTGGATGCATCAGAAGCAGCTGGCATCGCTCATCACCCTGTGTTTTGGCACCAAAGGGGCTCCCTCCTTCTAACAGCCTGTACAACAGACTCTCCCCCAAGTTTTTCTCTTGCTTCCCAACTGCTGACTAAGCTTCAGACTACAGCACGGGGCTCGCAGACCTCGCTTGGGCACCTCCACACCTTGGTCCCCACTCCAGTACTTATAGTTTGTTTATTTATTTACGTGGCAGAGCTTAAGAGTTACCTAAATACTAGAAGTAAAGAGTCCAGACTAGTTCACCCCTGAAGAGAGTGTCTGGCTGCCATCGCCTGAAAGGCTGTACATCTTTTAGGACCAATATGGCAGCTAAGGCTGATAAAACCCATCGGCTGAGGTTTCCCTTCCCTCCCGGTGCCCCAGACACAGGGAGAGAGAGAAATCTTTAACTGAGTGCTGCACAACGGGATACAAACACTGCTTAGCTGGGCTGAAACCTCTCAAAGCACACAGGCAACCCACCTCCACCTGTCCTCCATTTGAACGCAGCACGTCTCAGGGGCAGGAGGACTGAGTCAGGGTTCCTCACTGAGCTCCAAGCCAGGCTGGACACATTACTCCCAGCCCCAGTGCAGCCATCCCCACGGCCTCACCACCCCACACCCCTCACCCTGCCCTGCGTTCACACCCGCACCCCATTGCAGGGAGGCAGGCAGCTCCTCACCTGATTGGCGTAGCGCTTGGGCAACTTCTTGCCAGCATCCACGTCCATCTCCTCTTCCTCCGCA